TAAGGCTGGCCATACATTATACAATTTTCTTGAGAATTTTGCTTTAGATTTACCAAAAAGCATATAATATAAGGTCAAACCTACACAGCACTTTCAACTGTATCCAATAAGGCAGGCCCTTGCACTACATAGTTGAAGGTAAATCTAAAGGAAGTTGGGCAGAAATTGAACAGAAAATTGTATAATGTATGGCCAGTCTAAGGCCTCATGCACACAGGACCTTTTAAAAATGCTCCTCATCTTGGCAGCAGTGTTTTGGCAGAAAAAGCTCCTGATGCTTGTTGCAAGCATTTAGACACATTTACAGGTGTCAAGCGCTTGGGCCTAGGGCAGAACAAAAACAACATACACCACTGACTGGCAGTGGGGTTTTTTAACAGCTCCTAAAAGCCCCTGCCACTAAAAGTTTCTAAATGTCTATGTGTGCATGGACACATAAGATAATATGGAGTGGCGTTTGGAAGCTGTATAAAAATGCCTGATGCCCCTAAAAGTGGCTGCAAAATGCCCTGTGTGCATGAGGCCTTAAACCTGGAAGCTGATTGGTTTCTGTGCAGAGCTGCACCAGATTTTGCACGCTCCAGCTTTAGTAAGTAATCCCATGTATATCAAAAAGTTACCATTTTCTGTTTTCAGGATCAGAAAAGGTAAAAACAGTTTATTATTTAAAGTACATGGTGATTGGTTTTAATACACAATGCTGTAACAAAATGAAGTATTTCAGTGAGAGATTACATCTACTTTACCATGAACAATATATGACAGTCCTAGGCTGAAAACCAAGACCTTAAAGCAAAAAGGAAGTCTTTTCCTTCTCTAACCTGTACTAGGAGAAGAGAGCCTGGAGTATGAATGGATACTGGCAGACTCCTACACAGCCTCTGCTCCAGTGAAAGAACAAGGTACATTCCATTGTTACATTGACTCTCTCTCTGCCTTCCATTCATAAAACAGGCTTTGGTGACTGCAAACCTCTATAGTGCCGGAGGAGTGGACAAGAAGGTCACTTGTGATCAGTCCTGGCAATGTACACTGCACAGCAAAGACTGCAGAAAAGATGACTCAGTCTACAAAGCAACAAGTGTTCTCATGAAACAGAAAATCTGTAATCACAACATAATTACATAGGAGAAACATTCATCCAGTGCCGCGTGCTATAATCCAAAGGCCCCCAATATTTGTCTTATACAGGGCTTCCTGACCATGAAAACAGGGCAGTAAGTGTTCAGTTTGATGTATTGCAGTGGCAAGTAATACATATTAAATCTGGTCCCAAAGGAATAATATGACCTGCAATTTTGAGACCCCACATGCTGTAGATGTTGTCCTACGGCTGACATTCAATGGCCTTTAGCATCCATATGTTTTTCATCTCCCTATAGCAGGCAACACATTTAACATGACATTCTTATGATGGGGCTACTGTCAGTGTAATATTCTTGCAGAAGCACATTATAGGAGCAGAAAGTGGAGGTATGATAGGAAGCAAAGCAGAGTTACATTACCAAGGATTCATATTGGCATTATAATAGCACACAATGGGGTGATGGGTATATTCAGGGGGTACGGAGTAATTAATATTTATGTGATAGGTGCACTCTATTCGGACAGTATAGGTAGTAGAATATTGGGTTTGCAAAGAATGTAATTTTTGGGTGAAGGTGAATTCAGTGAGAACAAGCAGAAAAATATGAGGGTGTTTAGTACGTTCAGAAAATACAAGCTGTGTAATATTGTGACGATGAGTCTTTCCATGGGGAACAATCGGTGTAATATTGGTGTGATTTGTACAGTCCAGTAATTAGCATTAATGTAATATTGGGGTGATTTGTACGGTCCAGTGATTAGCATTAATGTAATATTGGGGTGATTTGTACAGTCCAGTGATTAGCATTAATGTAATATTGGGGTGATTTGTACGGTCCAGTGATTAGCATTAATGTAATATTGGGGTGATGTGTACGGTCCAGTGATTAGCATTAATGTAATATTGGGGTGATTTGTACAGTCCAGTGATTAGCATTAATGTAATATTGGGGTGATTTGTACAGTCCAGTGATTAGCATTAATGTAATATTGGGGTGATTTGTACAGTCCAGTGATTAGCATTAATGTAATATTGGGGTGATTTGTACAGTCCAGTGATTAGCATTAATGTATTATTGGGGTGATTTGTACTTCTTTAAATACAAAGCAGTAGATTATTGGAACAATTTGCAGTGTAACATTAAGGGGTATATTTATAAAGCAGTGGACGTGACATTCAGTGATCATTCACTGCAGGTGAATCAAGCACATTGATTTAGGACATATGCAGCAGGAAGCTTCACCTGCAGTGAATGTTAGGTGAATGTCACATATATTGCTTTATAAATTTGACCCTAAGTGACATGTTTTGGGATACAGAGAAGTGTTATATTGTGGCTGTGTATACTTTTGGGGGGTACGCAGTAGCATAATGCTGGGGGTGTTACATATATACATACATAGGTACACAGTAGTGAAAAACCGTGGTGATGGGTATTCTAGGGGTAAAACGCTCTGCTCCATCAGCAAAGCAAAGCACGCTCAGCCCTTGACATATCAGGTGAAATAATTTCCTTTCAGGAGATTCCTCGGATGTGGAAGGGGAGAAAAGTTGAACTGTCTTGACGCCCACACAGTCTGCAGCTTTATTAATCCAGATCGCAGACTCCTCCAGTCTCTGTTGACTGAGGATGACAGGGACCACACAGCATCCAGCAAAGACACCCAGGATGGAGGAACTGGGAGCTTGGAGAGAAGAGGGAACCAAGGGATGGATGAAGATAGATCAAGAAGGTGGTATTGGGGAAGGGGGAGGGGTGTTGGGATCAGTCTGGTTAGGTGGAAGGGTTAATTAAGAAATGGGGAGTATGCATCTTAGGATACAATAGAAAATCTAAGACTGCCTACTAATGGACATCTCTACCATTCCTTTAGGCAAGAAATAGTTCCCTTCCCTCTATAGAAAAGGGAATGATCAGTTGCGGAGGATTTTCACCATGTTGGGAAACCTACCACCTCCTCTACCCCCAAGCTAAACATGTATTGGGTGTTCTTAGGGATAGATTCATAAAAACTGGTACAAAAATAAAATTAAAAACTAAAGATGGCTGTTACTCAAAGCAGCCAATCAGAATTATTTTTTAATTTTTCCGTAAAAATTAAATGTAAAACCTAAATGGCTGCTATTGGCAGCAACCCCACTTTTTCCAGTTTTTGTCAATCAGTTTCCCAGCAATGCTAGAATCACTTTGCTTCTGGAAAGAGAGCTTTCCTTGAAAACAAGAAAAACAGAATGATCTCAGTCTTTCCGTTTGTGAGAAGAGAGTGTTTTTAAATGTTGATTTTGGCTTGGTGGAGAGGGTTGGAGGTGGAGAGGTAAGTGGGTGGGGTTGAACAAAAAGGCTTCTCCCTATCCCCACTAAAGTATGGGGGTTAGGGGATAGGGTATATGTAGGTTTTGGAGAAAGAAAGTTACCATAGTGTCCATGGATTGTCTAGGAATTTTGATATTGGTGATCCAGTGGTATGAGTTACATTCTTGGTGTGCAACTGGCAGCTAAAACGCATACATTGGGGTAAAATAAGATCTGTAATAGAGGACACTGGGATAAAATAAAGTAGGGATACAAAATTAAGGGGAACAACAGGTGGAATAAACTTGGAGCCAGATTTTAAAGTTTAAGAGATTCTGCTATCAGGAAGTAGTATTGCTGTTATCTTGGGGGGGTCAGAAAGTTGGTGATAAGGTTTTGGGGTGTGATGGCCATCACACAACAAGGCATCGAGTTTAGAGTTTTTTCAGAGACTAGTATTAAATAATGAAGGGGGGGTACCAGAATTTTGGGGTTAAAGTTTGTGGAGTCAGATACTAGTAGTGTTAGAGAAGAGATTCGAAAAAGGTAAATATTAATCTAAAGGCAACATCTAACTCTCAACCTGAGAATAAACTAAATGTTCCAGCATTCCCTGGCTACAAGGCATGCAGGGAATTATAATCCTACAACTGGAGAAACAAGGGTGGTGGCTGGGTGGGGATATGGAAACTGGATTCCATTTCTGGGTACACTGGGGTCTCCCTTGGGCTTAGCAGTGGGGTCCAGTTTGGGTACACAATGAAGGGCAGGGGTCTTTCCCAGGCTTGGCAGTAGGTTCAGTGTGGGGTGTACAGTGAAGGACATGAGTCTCCCTCAGGTTTTAGGTAAGTGTTGGGTACACAGTGAAGAGCAGGTGTCTTCCCGGGGCTCAGCAGTGAGGTCAGTGTGGGGTTTTAGAGTGAAGGACATGAGTCTACCTCAGGTTTTAGGTGAGTGTTGGGTACACAGTGAGGAGCAGGTACCTTCCCCGGGCTCAGCAGTGAGGTCAGTGTGGGGTTTAGAGTGAAGGACATGAGTCTCCCTCAGGTTTTAGGTGAGTGTTGGGTACACAGTGAGGAGCAGGTACCTTCCCCGGGCTCAGCAGTGAGGTCAGTGTGGGGTTTAGAGTCAAGGACATGAGTCTCCCTCAGGTTTTAGGTGAGTGTTGGGTACACAGTGAGAAGCAGGTGTCTTCCCCGGGCTCAGCAGTGAGGTCAGTGTGGGTTTTAGAGTGAAGGACATGAGTCTCCCTCAGGTTTTAGGTGAGTGTTGGGTACACAGTGAAGAGCAGGTGTCTTCCCCGGGCTCAGCAGTGAGGTCAGTGATGGGTTTAGAGTGAAGGACATGAGTCTCCCTCAGGTTTTATATAAGTGTTGGGTACACAGTGAGGAGCAGGTGTCTCCCCCAGGCTCAGCAGTCAGGTCAATGTTGGGTACACAATGAAGGGATTGGGTCTCCCTCAGGTCTGGGGTGTTGGGCACACAGTGAAGGAGAGATTTTTCCCTTAGTTTTGGGTACACAGTAAAGGGCAGAGGTTTCCCCAAATTAGCAGTGGGGTGAGTGTTGAGTGCACAGTGAAGAACAAGGATCTACCCCAGGTTTAACAGTTGGGTCACCTACCTGTGCTGCCTGCTCCATGGTTGGTGGAGGGGAAGATTCCAGTGCACTTATCCCATTCCACCTGGCCCCCCAGGCATAGCTCCGACACGATCTGCAGCGCTTTCTGGCACAAGCTCACACCGTCCTCTTTATGGAAACTCATCTCCAAAGTGCCTGGCACCCCGGGGCTCTATGTCATGGTCATCCACCGTCCCGGACACGAGTGGAAACCCACCGGCAGCATGCGGGATGCAGCCTGGAGAGGGTAGCCGAAGGGCACTGGGTCTTCTTCCAGGAGAAACTGTTGCTTTCAGCCGACACAGAATAAAATGCGGAGACTGGCACACAGACTGTCACAGATGGCACTGGATGCCGGGAGGGAGCCTCGCAAGAATAGCACTGCCCGCAGGGGAGAGGGGCACAGCTGGCACTGGCTGCAGGGGAGAGGGGCACAGCTGGCACTGGCTGCAAGAAGGGCTCAGAGTCTGGGAGACAGATGCCAGCAGCTTGCAGAAGATCACAGGTGGGCACTGTGGGTCAGACTGGTGCACAGAACCGGTACTGGCTCCGAGAGTGGATGACAATCCGGCAGATCGGTGTCCAGAGTCTGGGCTGAGTAGAATCAGAAGAATGGACCTCCTGGCTGCTCCTGGATGTCAGAGTGGATCGCAGAGAGAAACGAGACCTGTTGCTGAAGTATAAACCCAACTGCTTGTGGCTGCAGGAGCGGCTCAGGGGAGGCGATGGCTGCAGAAGTAAGTCTTAGCTGCTGAGACTGGGGCTCAGGACCTGTTGCAGCAGCAGAGAGAAACAAGCTGACAGTGACCGCAGGTGTAGATCAGGCTTGGTTCCGACTGCGGGAGTAGGTCACAGTTTGTTCTGTCCGTAGAAGTGGGTCAGAGCTAGAGCTTACTGCAGAATTGGGTCAATTGGTTCTGGCTGCAGAATCAGACTTGGTTCTGGCTGCAGAATTGGGTCAGACTTGGTTCTGGCTGCAGGAGTGGGTCAGTGCTGGTTCTGGACTTAGGACTGGATAAGGACTGGCTTGGAAATTGATGCGAGCTGCTGTTAGCTTTGGAGCTTTGATGAAAAACACAGACTGGCGCTCTGAGCCTTGAAAGTGATTTGGGTCAGAACTGGGCAACCCCACATCAGAGAATCTGAACTGGAACTCACACAGGCAGCAGAGATGAATGTCAGACTCCAGAAGCAGAGCAGAATGGAGAGACTGGAGCTTGCAGCCCATGTAACTGGCTCCAGGAGGGGATCAGAGCCTTCGGTTGTTTGCAGAGGGTATTAAGGAGGGTGCAAGTGGCAGGAGAGTATCAGTGATGGTACAGGCTCAATGAGGGCATCAGGGTTGCTGCAAGTTGCATGACGGTATCAGGGATGGTACATGCTCCAGGAGGGTATCAGGGACGGCACAGGCTGCAGGACGGTATCAGGGACAAGAGTATCAGGGATGGTACAGGTTGCAGGAGGGTATCAGGGACGGAGGGTATCAGGGACGGCACAGGCTCCAGGAGGGTATCCGGGACCAGGGTATCAGGGATGGCACAGGCTGCAGGAGGGTATCAGGGATGGCACAGGCTGCAGGAGGGTATCAGGGATGGCACAGGCTGCAGGAGGGTATCAGGGATGGCACAGGCTGCAGGAGGGTATCAGGGATGGCACAGGCTGCAGGATATCAGGGATGGCACAGGCTGCAGGAGGGTATCAAGGATGACAGGCTGCAGGAGGTTATCAGGGACGGTACAGGCTCCAGGAGAGTATCCAGGATTAGGGTATCAGGATGGTACAGGCTGCAGGAGGGTATCAGGGATGGCACAGGCTGCAGGAGGGTATCAGGGATGGCAGAGGCTCCAGAAGGGTATCAGGGATGGCACAGGCTGCAGGAGGGTATCAGGGATGGCACAGGGCAGGAGGGTATCAGGGATGGCACAGGCTGCAGGAGGGTATCAGGGATGGCACAGGCTGCAGGAGGGTATCCAGAGGCTCCAGGGGTATCAGGGATGGCACAGGCTGCAGGAGGGTATCAGGGATGGCACAGGCTGCAGAGGGTATCAGGGATGGCACAGGCTCTAATGGTATCAGGGATGGCATAGGCTCCAGGATGGTATCAGGGACTGCACAGGTTGCAGGATGGTATCAGGGAGGGTATGAGGGTATCAGGGACGGCACAGGCTCCAGGAGGGTCAGAGACTGCACGGGCTCCAGGATGGTATCAGGGACTGCACAGGCTCCAGGAGTGTATCAGGGACTGCACAGGCTGCAGGATAGGATCAGGGACGGAGAGAGCCTGTTGCACACATCCTCTGGAAGTGGCTGTAGAAGTATGATGGGGATGCAGAGAGGACCGGTACTCACATCCTCGGAGACTCACAGTCGGTACTTAGCAACGCTTTATGTAGCAGGCAGAGAGGCTCCCGGCAGCGCCGGCACACTGCACAGCTGGCCAATGGCAGGCAAGGAGAGAGGCAGGGAGGGAGCCACATGCTATATTGCTATACATTGGGGTGACTCAGTCGGGGGGGTCAGGTCATGGAGGAAGGGGTGTCTCTCTCTATAGGATCTTATATAACATGAAGAGCTGATGTGATCATAAGTAAAGGTCTATACTGGTGATACATACACAGAGTAATTATACCTATAGGATCTTATATAATGGAAGCTGATGCCAGGAGGAGGTTGTGTTATCTATAGGGCTCCACATAAGAAGAGATAACTAAATTTTTATTATAAATGGTGATTAAAGGGTGTGCAGTGCTGTAGAATTTCATACAGAAAGCTGTAACTGTATGGGTTCATATAGGGTGATGCTTGAAACAAATGAATATATTCAGGTTTTCTTAAAAGTTGTCCATAATTCAAGAGCCAGCTGGTAAGTGCATGTGGGTTCTGGATGGCTCTAAATTCCTGCTCTGGACACAATATTTATTTTTTAATGTGGGTAAAACCTTTAGTATTTTAAAACAACAACCTAAATAGCTAGTTAGAAGCTGGATGTATAAGTAATGTTAGGAGCACACTGGAGTTGGTTTACTAAAGGCAAAAAGACTGTGCACTTTGCAAGTGCAGTTGCTCCAGAGCTTAGTAAATGAGGGGAATCTCTGCTCACTTCCACCATCTAATCATGTGAAAGTAAAAATGCATTTTTCTTACATTTTTCTTGCATGTGATTACTCTTTGCAAATTTACTAAGTTCTGGAGCAACTGTGCTTGCAGAGTGCACAATCTGTTTGCCTTTTGTAAATAAACTCCACTGTATTGTATAGGAGGGACTTTGTGTCGATTTCTGGCTTTTTATATACCTTGGATATTCCAACAGCAAGACTTCCAGCCCATCCTGATTGTTGCTGCACACCTTAGGGCTCTGGATGTTCTTACTCACGTTTCTGTTTTCCAGCTTCTCTTGTTGCAGTCTCCATAATATAACTTAGAACTACAGCAGGGAAAGTTGGAACCCTTCATAATGCGCAGACCTGGGAACTCAGCACAGGAGTGAAACCCTCATAATGGGCACAGCAAGTGTGAAGACCCCAAATCTCAAAGCAGGGATGGTGAGAACCCCTCATAATGGGTACAGTAGGTGTGCAGACCCAGTAGGTCAGCACAGAGATTTTACTAATAGAATCCCTGAGGGATAGAAATGTCAGCACAAACAATAAACAAAACAGAAATATCAGTTTTGGGTGGTTTGAACCTTTAAGAGGTGTTTGGTGTTGTATCTACAGCATGAAATATATTACTATAAACCAGACCACAATGGAGTGGTATTACGGCCTGATATTAAATGAGCATTTTTTTCCCAGGGGTAACAAAATAGAACAAGAAGGTGACTGTGGTATATATGTTTAATATTACACATTTGGGTTTATTTACTAAAACTGGAGAGTGCAAAATCAGGCTCATTTCTGCACAGAAACCAATCAGCTTCCAGGTTTTATTGCTAAAGCTTAAAGTGTTACTAAACCCAGGACCCTGCATTCACTATATCTGGTCTCCCAAATTACATGCAACATGGGAATGCAATTATTTTAGTAAATACAAACTGCTAAATACCTTTTCTCATCAGCAGTATATATCAGTCTTGTGACTTCAGCAGAGCACTGGTTAAAGCTTGTAGGAGGAGTTTTCATTCTGCTCTAGGAGGCTGCAGAACCCCTGACCTCTGTCTGGACAGTGCTGATTGGCCCTGTGCTGATTATATGCACTCTCCCAAGGGGAAAAAAAACCTCTTTAGCAATACAAATTAAACTGAGCATGTGCAGAAGGGCTACAGGTTCAGTCTGTCTTATCAGCGTGGACATTTGAACAAGAGGAGGGACAGAGAAGACAGGATCAAACAGCCTTTTTACACAATATGGAGAATTAACCTATTAGGTTCCACAGTGAGTATAACAAGCATGCTTTACTACATATACAGACTGATTTTACTGTTGTGGGTTTAGTAACACTTTAATTGAACAAGCTGAGATTAAAATCTGTGTCTATTCAGAAGTGAGTCTGATTTTGCACGCTCCAGCTTTAGTAAATAACCCCCAATGTGAGACAAGCTTGATATAGATATCTGGTTTTATATGACAGGTGTAAAATCAAGGTGGTGGTGGTGGGATAAAAGAAACATAAAAGAAAGTGAAGCAAAGAAAAATGTTGGAGGGTGGGGGGGGGGGGGGGGGGGGGTAGAAAAAAGAGATAGAGAGTATGGGGGGGGGGGAGATATGTGTATTGTTATCATTATTATACAGGATTTATATAGCGCCAACAGTTTGCTCAGCGCGTTACAATATAACGGGAGACAATACAGCAACAATACAGTTCAATACAAGAGGGTTAGGAGGGCCAATCTAAGAGTGTATTTACATATACAGTACATATTTTTATAGAGAGAGGAGAGAGAGAGAGAGAGAGGAGGGAAGAGGGGTTGGGGCGAGAAAGAGAGAGAGGGAAAGGGTGTGTACAAAGGAGCAGAAAGAACGGGAGGGAGAGCAAGAGAGATAAAATGCAGAAAGAGAGAAAAAAAAAATAGAGAAAATGAAAGACATGGAAGAAGATAGAGAGTGCAGGGGAAGAAAGGTAGTTAGAGTAGAACAAATGAATAAAATTAATATACAATTAAATTTTTTTTTAAAAAAGCCACCTTCTGCTGCAATATTCACCTTC